CAAAGTTAGTCATAGACACCTATATAAATATACATTGTAAATACTGGCTTTTAAAATAAATAAATAAAATATTCAATTCAGTTTCTTGCCAATTCTTCTCAATTGGATCTATACACAGAACTGGACGGTAGCGTTAAAAAAAAAATATTCAATTGACTTTCTTACCAGTTCTTCTCAATTGGATCTATATGTATACTGAACTGGACGGTAGGGAAAAATAATATAATATAAAAAAAAATACGTTCATAAGCGACTAAAATATTCTACATGAAAAAATGATTTTTAATTTGAAATTCGTGGTCTAGCACCGTCGAAGCCAACATACACAAAATAGTTACAATTTTTTATAATTATTATAATTAAAATATATTCAATATCCATTTCTATACGTAATTAATTAGGTAATTTGTGAGTTAATTAAAATCCCACACGTAGTCGAACAGAACACGTCAAAACCATATCTACCCACAAAACTTTGATAAGACAGAAGTTTGCCATATCAACAATGAGGGTAGACAGATTAATCTGCCTATAATAATTGTTATTTAGGACGTTTGTAACACGACTCAAACTATCGGCTGCCCATAATATAAACACGATAAACATAAATGTATAGCAAATGAGAAAAAATATAGAAAATCAAATTTCAATCAAATTTTTGGGGATTTTTTTCAATTTCAGGAACCTCATATCAGTGTATTATGGGGTATTATGGGGTATTAAGGGGTATTAGGGGTGTATTATGGGGTATTAAGGGGGTATTATGGGGTATTAGGGGGTTATTATGGGGTATTATAGAGTATTATATATTTTTTTATTAAGGGTATTATACTAAATATATATATCCTGAATAGTATATACAATTATTGTCGTGTCAACAATATGCTCTAGTAAATTTTTAGATAAACCATAATTTGACTAATTTCGCCGTAATATATATAAAGGAGTTCGCAAATACGTGAATAATAATATACAGAAATAAATTTTGATTTAAGTTGATGGGAAAGGGATGTAAAAAATTAAAAAAGGGTTGAAAAACGCTTATTTTTCAAAATAACTCAATAATGGTAAGAAATAGAAAAAAATGTTTTGAATAAAAGTTGTAGAAAAAAAGTTATGCGTAGAATAAGTCCACCTCATTTTTTCATTATTATAATTTTTGTGGCTAAACAACAATTTAACCAAAAAAATTAAAAACTAAACAACAGCAGTTATTGATAAAATAAAAGGTCCTGTTTTGAGCAGATTTTTATTCTCTACAACTTTTATTTAAAACTTTTTTTTCATATTTCTTACCGTTATCGAGGTATTTTGAAAATAAGTGTTTCACAACCATTTTTTTATCTATTTCCCTTTAACTTAAATCAACTTTCCTTCATACGTGAATAATATTCACGTATTTGCGGACTTATTTCTATATATTGCACCAAAACCGATCACATCATGATTTTATTTAAAATTTTACTCGACTAAAACAGTCGTGTAAAAGTAAAAAAAATATAGGTAGGACAAAGGTTTTTAATTATAATAAATATTCTACGAAGAACAGAAGAGACTGGACATAACTTTTTGTCTTAACACATACTTTTTACTGGTCATTTCCGTTGTAAAATATTAATAATCTTATTTATATTCAAGTCTGTGAAGATTAAATGGACAATTTTGGCGAAATTGGTGGATTTTACAACAGTAAAAGTTTTATGAATTTCAGGCAGATGTTATTTGGCAGATTTTATGAGACAATCACTGTAGCCGAGGCTAGGATTCATTATACGCCGAGTAAAACGTTCGTTCGCACTGTTTTATTGACATTTCCTTATATTTTTATACCGCATTATGGTCAAAGTAATTTATTTCACTGGTGCGTAGAACTTTTACAAAGATAGACTGAGAATTTGTAGAATCGAAGTTTAATACATTTGTAATTTTTTTAGTAATAAGTATAGTATAAGTAAGGAGCCAACAGAATATAAGCGCTGCAGATTTATCTGTAACATTATGCTGAGTTGGCTACCTTTTCACTTTTGCGGCACATAAAGTCACCTACATTTCTTTTATTAATTCGTGTTTTTCTGTATCTCATGTATGTAATTGTGAATAAAAAACTTATCTATCTATCTAACTAAATTTTAGGAATTACGGCAGGTCCGGTGGTAAAGCAGTTTAGCCCATCGCTTTACTTCGTGGTCGCGGATTCGATTTCTCGCACGTGTCTAACATTTGTTTTAAGTATATTGTGTGATTCGTTCTGCGTGTTTTCTATGTATGTTTTGTATGTAAATACAAATAAATGACCTATATATTTATATCAGTTATCACACAATTACATACATATAACACAATTTCTGCTTGCTTTCAAACTAGATGGTAGATATTATTATTATTTAGTAGAATTTATTGTATTACATTTATTTGAGAGCTGTTTCTAATTAGTGACTATACAATACATGTAGTATTTTCGTAATACAATGTTTAAATTTATTATTAGAATAAATATGCTGTTAGGAGCTGGTGTCTATTATAAGTATGTGTAAACAGATCACCAAGAGAGCAACGTATAAAAGAGCAATACACAAGTTTCTCATTCTTCTTGTGATGAGTTTGCATTCCGAATGAGCGGTAGAATCAAAAAACTTGACTATTCAAAAGTCCTTATATTAAGTTTATTTGAATAAAGATTATATCTATTTCTATTTCTATTTTCTTATTTATAACTAGCTGCACGCTCGACTTTGTCCGTGTGGAATTTAACTTTATTTTTCTAAAATAAAAGTAGCCTAAGTTACTCCTTATTACCTCAGCTACCTGCCAAAAAATATCGCGCCAAATCGGTTCAACCATTTCAGAGATTAGCCGAAAGAAACAGACAGACAGACAGACAAAAATTGTAAAAAATGTTATTCTAGTGTATGTTCCGTATTATATTCATATGCATGTAGTAAACAATGTTTATTTCAATATTACAGACATTCCAATTTTATTTATATGTATAAATTTAAGTAAGAATATGTATAACAAACTAAAAGCTACTTACATACGGGTTTATATAAAGAAGCAGTCTTAAATTACAGTATTTTCTCGCCGCCCATTTAATACCTTGCGGATTTTTGGGGTAATTAATATAAACGGGACTTGGTCGTACATTTCAGTGAACGTATAGTGGTTTTTGATGTAGGATCACATTTAAGTAGAGTTATTTGCCTTCTCAAACTTCACAACTGAGCCTGTCATGATTATGTAGTTTAGAAACAAAATTAATTCAATTTCAGACTCATCCGTCATACTCGTGAACTTGCTGCTTGTAAGACTGTTCTGTTTGAGATACGCACACTGATTAAACTATTTTCTTCAAAGTAATTTTTTTATTTAGTCTATTCTCCAAATATTGAATTGAAAAATGAAACTTTGTTATTGTATTATATGTCTGTATATAAGTTCATTTGATAGAATAAGAGCTGAGTTTCTTGAGCGTTCGGTGTGCTCAGTAGAGTGAGGCTGACAGAAATTTCCCTGAGCAACTTTGGGAAGAGACCAAAAAGCCCGGGATCCAGATGGATCAAGACACTCTCCTTGATGTAAAGCCAAATCTCGAGGTCCTTGGCGTTGATATATCCAGTGACGTTCAGTTTTGCGGTCATTTGGAGGACAAGGCTAACATAGCCTCAAAAAAGCTTGGTGTGCACAGTAGAGTGAGACGGTATTTCACGGCGGCCCATCGCTTGTAATTATACAAGGCGCAGATCCGGCTGCATATGGAATACTGTTCTCATCTCTGGGCGGGAGCACCACAATACCAGCTACCTCCAGACTTGACATTATTATAAGAGTCTGTAATAGACCTACATGAAGATAGATATGTTGATTTTGATTTTGTTCTACGAAAAAAATATTACTTCATCCGTGATGACATTCATATTTGTAGTAGGTAATATAATAAAGTAGTCAAACTTATTAATTGCAAAAGGAATCATCATAATTAATTTAGAATCTGTAAGAATTCATAATACTAGCTGACTAATGACTATGTTGGTCCAAAAATAGCATAAAAATTTATCAAGTTGTTTGAGTTTGAGTTTGAGAGTTTATTCTGTACTAGCTACTATCTTCGCACGGTTGTACATGTATTATACATATAAACCTTCCTCTCGAATCACTCTATCTATTAAAAATACCGCTTCAAAATCCGATGTGTAGTTTTTAAGATTTAAGCATATATAGAGACAAACAGCGACAGCGACTTTGTTTGATACTATGTAATGATTATATTTTGTCCAATTTACATAATATCTCATTAAATTATAGCCTACATGTTATTATGTCGTATATATAAGCTATATATAAAATCCTCGTGTCACAGTTTTCGTTCCCATACTCCTCCGAAACGGCTTGACCGATTCTCATGAAATTTTGTGAGCGTATTGAGTAGGTCTGAGAATCTGCCAACATCTATTTTTCATCCCCCTAAATGTTAGGGGTAGTCCACCCCTAAATTTTTCTTTTTATTTTAAGGCAAAACAACGTTTGCCGGGACAGCTAGTAAGCTATATTACTGTAAAGCTTCACCCAAATCAGTAGTATTTGGATGAAAGAGTAACACACGTTTTTCTATCCATCTATTCATCTATATTATACTTACAATTTTTACATTTATACCAAATATCGAAATGTATTGTCTTCATTTCTATAAAATTTTATTAATCTGTTACAGCTGTTTTTAGTCGTGAAACAAAACTAAACAGACAGACAGACACTTTAACATTTATAATATTATTAGTATAGATATATATACAATCTACAACTGGTGTCATCTGAATTAGTTCAGTTTTAATTAGTTTCCTGGTTAATTAGTTTAATAATCAGTTTACTAAAATATAGACTAGCATATGTTTAAACAAATATAATTGAAAATTTTCTTCTATTACCAAGACAGTAGAAAATGTTCGCAACTCAAGAAGAGTTGAGAATATTTAGAAATTCTAAATTAATCAAATTAGCCCAGATAAATATCAAATTTTTTTATTTGATTCCACGACTTAAAATTTTTACTTCAACGGTCAAGGTGATTATTAAATTAAAAAAATATTAGGTCTTTATATTTTCAGCCATTTTCATTAGTATATTCCGTAGTAGATTTGCCAACATGGGATAGTTATGTCCAAGTAAGGGAGTTCGAAGTTGGGGTACGCAAACCTGAAACAAAACATGACATCTGATATGAACTGTTATTTTTAAATTTTCGTGTTTATATTAATATTATATAGTTGTAAGTATGGATGGATGTTTGTTACTCTTTCACGCAAAAAAATTAGATGAAACTTTATAGTAATGTAGCTTATATATCAGAATAATATATAGGCTATAAATTTCCCGCAATGAAAACGTGGGCACAGCGAGTTATTTATGTTATTAAACGTGTAGCGTAATTTCGTTGAACAATCTAGTGACGGTAGATGAAAAAACTGCTGTCACCTACTCTATTGACATCGCTGTTACTCCAGTCAGCTCGTGACCACAGCTGTGCAACCTAGTCGAAACGTCGAGAGAGATAAATACCTTTATTTGCTATAAAATTGTTCGTGTTAAGACCAGGTTAATAAGTATAAATAATAATATGAGCTGGCCAGTAAAAATGCAGTTTAAAACCATATAGCAATGTTTCTAACTGCTAAACGAAATTTAAACCATATCCCCCGCCGTGTAGACAGATATTTTGTTGACGGCCTCGGTGATCTAGCGGAGTGTGCCATACACATAACTTCCGATGGTCGCGGGTTCGATTCCGCGTACGACACAAACATTTGTAATCATGAGTATGGTGTTTTCTATGTATATTATGTACGTATTTACAAAAAGAAATCTAACTATATATAACAGTTGTCTAGTACCCAAAACACAACTTGAGACTAGGCACTATCTGAGTTGTGTCTTAAGATAAACTTACAACAGCCAGTAGAACGACTAGTAAGGGACACAGAAGGTTGATAAGCAATGATAACACAGCTCGCACCATCCACCACAGTCCAATAACGACCAGCACGCTCGCTAACATGACCTGCATAAAAATGTAACAAAACGTAGCGTTAAAAAAAATTTTTATGTAATCATCATCATCATCATCATCGCAGCCCGGAAGACGTCCACTGCTGGACATAGGCCTGCCCCAAAGATCTTTTATGTAATAGGAACGGCGAACTAGCTTATGGCCAACCTGGTAGTTAGTGGCCTTTTTTTCGGACTACTCTAGTGGTGGTGCCAGCAGCTGGCTTTTAAAACTTCACCAGACGATAGGGGGCGAGTGCAGATGGCACACCAAACCCACGGAAGGACTTATGGAGCGGCTAAAGACCAGCTCCCGCCTGACGGATGACTTTAGTCTGAAGGCATCGCTATGGGTTCGAACCTCGGCTCAAGCCCTCGTAATTTCAATCCCCGTTTGTATTGGACGGGGATTGGATCCATCTGTGGCTACCGTCATATACATGAAGGGCGTTACGAATATAATCGAAAAAAGTAAATATTACCTTTATAAAATACATTTAGATAAAAATAATAAATATATTATGTCCAAATTTATTCACCCCTTCAACGTTAGATGACGCTGCATAAATTCTACAATTCGCTATATTTTCGTTTTCTGTATAGTATAGATATATTCTAAAATAATTTTATTTACACCTGGGAGCGTCCGGACGCTCGACATCCACATCCCTGATTGACCTAGGTTCGAACCCCTGGCTATGTGTCTTCGGAATAAAGTCTTATCCGTCAAACATGAGTTGGCCATCAGCCGCTCCATAAGTCCTTCCGCAGGTTTGGAGTGGCAACTACACTCGCCCCCTATAGTTCGGTGAAGCTGTAAAGGCCAGCTGCGGCTAACAGCATTTGAATAATTCAAATAAAATGGACATAAAGTCATCATGTACCACTCGTGCGTTACCATTCCGGAGTACTACGATGTTATTGCACGGTACCCTAATTAATTTCACTGCTATATCTCACCTACCAACAGAAACACAGCTTAATTCAATAACGGTCGGAATTTGATCACTAATACAGAAGTAACGGTAGTGGATTTTCCGCGATAATTGTGGTCTCAGACATGCTAATTGTAGCAGAATTAAAAAAATATATAAATCTATTAAAAAGTTATTTGCTTTCATAATAGACTAATATTACCTGAGCATCCTCGTGTGCATGGAGCCAGGACCTCAACATCTGCACCGCGCCAGCTGGGCCTCCACTATTATCTCCACAAGTTGATCGAGATACACTGAACTATGGAGAAATATATTTATTTATTTATCCGAAAAAACAAAAAAAATCAAACACGAGCTTCTGTAGGCAATATAAAATACCTTATTTGTATACTTTTTCGTTTACTACACAGTATTCTTATAGTTAATTTAATTTAAACGGGTTTTAACATTACCACTTAACTGCCGGCACGTATCGACATTAACAATGCTATTACTCCACTCTGCTCTTGACCATACCTAGTGCAATCTAGTAGAAACGTACGCTCCTGCCGGGACAGCCCCGATTCTCTTGGATCTCTCTGATAAGTACCTTTACCTTTACCTTTGGTCGTGTTAAAACACGTTTAAGTACAAGCATAATGGGAACTGCTAAAAACGGTGTCTAGTTCCAGATAAACGGGGCCTGTCGCCCCTGGAGAAAAAGCCGGTTTCGCTCCGTGACCCTAACTGAGGGTGAAAAAGCCCGATGGTAAAGATTCGATGGTAAAGTCAAGGGCAACACTTTGCTGTTTCACTCTTACTTAGTTGAGTATAGTTTTATCTCGTAGTCGGTTGCATTGTGGTTTATTTATGTGTTTATATCAAAAGAGTTGCTCATAAAAATAAATTGATGCAATCATTTATTTAAAGGGTTGAAATAATATTAAGCCAATAAATTAAAAACGAATGTATTTATCTGACATCATAAAATGGTTACCGATTTCTCGAATGAAATGATTCACCAAATTGCTACATTCTTATTTTCATGCACGATTACAGTATACGGTACGGTAAAAATATCTTTAAATCTTAATTAAAGTTTAAATTTGTTAGCAATTTGGTATTAGGTTTAGTCGTATTCAAATCTAAATTTGGCGATGATAATCAGAATTAATGGCAATCGAAAAATTACCTGAAGGAGATCGCTTTTAGTGATATGGATGTTCACTGTTCTCCCCTCTAATTTATATTTTGCGATTGTTGTTTCTTTATCGTAATCTTTAAAGTTATCTAGACTATGATACTACCCATAATGTCTGCTATATCAAACTCTGATACATGTAGTAAAATTGATATACCTCATTTAAAAATTTTCTTGTATATAAAAATGAAATAACAATTGTTAGTCACGCTAAAACTTGAGAACTCCTAGACCGATTTGGCTAATTTTGTGTTTGGAGTTATACAAAATAACTCCAAGAAAGGTTTAATTGGTGAGAAATATTTAAAAAATCATTGAAAATGGTAAGAACAATAATTTTATTTTCTTATACAAACTGTTTGATTCAAAAAGACTTTTGTGCAAAAAACCTATGATATTTAATTCCGAGGCGGAACAGAGTTCGCGGGATCAGCTAGTATTTAATATAAGTACTTCTGTGTAAACAACATTATGTACCGAAGTACATGGCATTAAACAATACAATACAAATTTATTTCATTTTTATATGTAAGTGTTTTTGAAATAATCATATTTTTTTTTTTTATAACACGTGACAAACGGGCATGCGGCTCACCTGATGGTAAGTGATTACCGCCGCCCATGAGCACCCGCAACACCAGGGGAATTGCAAGTACGTTGTCGGCCTTTTAAAAAGGAATAAGCTCTTTTCTTGAAGGTTTCAATATCGTATCGGTTCGGAAATACCATTGCTGGAAGGTGATTCCACAATGTGGTTGTGCGAGGCAAAAAGTTTCTAGATAACCGTACTGTGGAAGACCGCCATTCATCCAGATGATCAGGATGGTATTTCAGTTTCTGGCGGGTGGTACGGTGGTGAAACTCAGCAGCTGGTATTAATCCGAACAATTCCTCAGAACACTCCCCGTGATATATGCGGTAGAAAATGCACAGAGATGCAATATCTCGCCGCAAAGCCAATGGGTCGAGTCTGTCACATAGACGTTGATTTATTAATAGACCGACTTCATATATTATGAGCTGAGATAATGGTGTACTGTATTAAGAATTTATATAAGGAACTAGCTGTCCCGGCAAACGTTGTTTTGCGATATAAATTAATAACGCTATAAAAAATAGGGGTTGATGATAGAAGGATGAAAATTTAGGATTGTATGTATTTTTGTATGTTGTATCATAAAAAAGTAGAAACTAAAAATTTTGTCTAAAAATAAAAAAAAATTACGGGTGGACTACCCCTAACATTTAGGGGGATGAACAATAGATGTTGGCCGATTCTCAGACCTACTCAATACGCTCACAAAATTTCATGAGAATCGGTCAAGCCATTTCGGAGGAGTATAGGAACGAAAACTGTGACACGAGAAATAAGGCGGATAACGGGCTAATGGCCTTAGAATAGTTTGAAAATAATAACCGAGTACAACCCACAAAAGACTCATTTCAATCGCATTACTCAAATTCTAAAGATAGATATCCTCATCTAATAATTGTTGTACTGTAATGAAGAAACGTTTTATATTCTAAATTTGTATTTGAATTTATAGTTCTTTTTATATTACATTCTTGTTTTTGATACTTCAATTTCCTTCATTCTATTCCTAATTGTCAGTAGTCTATATTAATATATTTTCTCCGTTTACCTAGTCTTTTTTCTTATTACTACAACAATAATAATAAAGCTGAGAGAGCGAGACGATGATAGTGAGGATAATAAAAATATTTATTTCCACAAAAAAACATTGTATAAACTATATAAAACAAAACAAATATTTCTGAAGGTATACAGTTAAAAATGAGTACCTCCCGTACAGTTATCTAACTAAGTGTGTTACGACAAGGTAATAATCTCGCACTATACGATGAATAAAAAACTACTATTCACATTTTATACTAAACTTAACTTAATATGCTATCGTCGTCATCGATCTCACATTGTATTTTACTGGTAAAGGCTATAACAGAATAGCAGAGAGGGTGGACTCACTGCCCTCACTGAGTTATAGACCGTTTTGTCTCATTCATTAGTTTTAAATTATATTATTGTATGGGCAATAGTTGTATTGTGTAAAAAGTTTTTGTTTGAGACAACTAAAGATGATTATTATTATTTTTTTTTTCCCAAAAATTTTTATTATTATTATTATTATTTTATACAAAATACAGGACCGTATAAGAAGCACTAACTTTTAAATAACAACCGAGTTATGTTATTATAACTCGAATTGAGAACCGACACATTTTGATTTGGATCCCTAAAATATGGTCGAGTGCAGTGATGGCTGGCTCATCCGTCATACTCGTAAACGAGTGCTGCTTGTAGGGACTGGTCTGCTCTTATCACTACGACTGATTTAATCTTATTGTGTTTTTATATTTGACCCAAAAAATTAGTGCTGGTTGGTAGTTTGTATTCACACGTTTCGACTTGTAAATGTAAACTTACAAGGATTATTTAAAAGAGCAACACACAAGTTTCTTGCTCGTTCTTCTTGTGATGAGACAGCATTTCGAGCGAGTGGTAGATAAAAAACAAATTGTTATGACTATTCAAAAGTGCTTAAATTGAATAAATGATTTTCTATTCTATTCTATTCTATTCTGATGGAGAATAAAATAAAGTAGTAGTCATTTAGCTTTTACTAACATTGTGTCCGAACAGACTCCTTTGCCAATGGTAATGGTCAGTATACATCTTGGTTGCAGCTATGTCATCAATCATTTGGGTTGCATAGAACAATGAAACGTGTAGTTGCCCACTTCCCCGCTGATCTGTTGGACATAAGTATCATTTTACCAATGAAAATGTTGTATAAAATCATCTATCACAACAGGAGATGGCGTGGTGGAACGGGTCATGAGGGTCCCTAAAATATGGTTGAGCGAGCCATCATTGCTCACTCACTATACTCGTGAACGGGTGCTGCTTATAGGGACTGGTCTGCTCTGATAAGTATGACTGATTTATTTTGTCACTCAAGTAACTATCCATTTATTTATGTCAACTTTACTACTTGGAAATTTGTATTCACTGAGCGCTGTGTTGTAGTATGTAATATTATGTTATCTGTGGTTGTAGTAATAAGAAAAAAGACTGGGTAAACGGAGAAAATATATTAATATAGACTACTGACAATTAGGAATAGAAAGAAGGAATTGAAGTATCAAACAAGAAACTAAAGAGAAACTATAAATTTTAAAATACAAATTTCGATATAAAAACTCATTTCTTAATAGCCAGTTACAGTACGAAGTAATGGCTGCCTCACCAGTTATGCCTGCTGCTTATAACCACTTGTCTGCTCTGATATCTGATACTTTTATTTTATTACTCTATTAATTTTTATCAAATTTGTTATTTAGCAGTTTGTATACAGAAAAAAATCCTTTCATTCCACTCATACGCTATCAACCAGCTTCTGTTTTTTCTCCTATATCCAAAAGTTGTCTGGTAGAAGTTGATTAAGCGATAAGATCGCCTTTTGTATCTACAAACTCTAAATATCCTACTTTGTTTTGTATTTTTTAAGGTACAACAAAGAGTAAAATAATTCTTAAAAATGAACAGCATTTATTTAAAAGAGCAACACGCAACAACCGAGGACGTCAATTATTATTAAACCTACCTGAACTATCTGATTAAGAAGCACTGTAAACATTACATAAAATATATTGTTATCCCTTCCAGTTTTTCGTAATTAGTGGGGTACAGGATGGCTGTTTATGGGCGGTAACTCAGACAAAAAGGGCATACGAGCAGCCGGGAAAGGAATACACGAGATATATAGACGAGATATTTCAACCTGTTATAAACGTCTGGTCACGAATCGACTGGAGATAGCGATATAAACATTGATTACAAGCAGACAGATCTATCTACCCGCTTTCTTCGCCTTTTCTGCGTACACTGTCACCTCTTCCGATCGATCCCCCGTCCAATTCAAACGGGGATCGAAATTACGACTGCTTGAACCGATGATCAAACGCCAAGCAGTGCTCTCAGATTAGAGTCGTAGCCGTAAGGCGGGAGTTGGCTTTCAGTCGCTCCACAACTCCTTCCAAGTTAGGGGACGAAAGGGGATTGTTAGTAATAAGATAATGGATTGATTATCTTATTGCTGTAATGTATATGTCAGGTTGACCTCCACGCGGTTCCCCTGGAAACCATCGTGATAAATTCTTGGTGAATTTGTCACGATGGGCTAACTGACCTGACTTCATGTTCATCTTATCATCCGCCACTGGTGCCCCGTCAGCGTAAACCGTTAGCGCAGGCAGGTGCGCCATTCCATTATCATCCAAAAAATACTCCTTCCATAGATTTGGAGTCCCAAATACACTCCTATCGTTCGTTAACGCTGTAAAGGCCAGCTGCGGCCAACAGCATTAGAATAATTAAAAAAAAACCGTCACCCCTACTACTGGAGATGTCCAGTAGTAGGGGTGTTATTTGATAGTCACAACATAATAAGGAATAAGCTTTAATAATATTAAAACGGTAAATATTTCGTTTGTACAATGTGAACAATTATAAACAATTTTGAAGAAAGTTTAAAAAACAGATTAAAGAAATATAATTAAGAAATAAACTTTTCAAGAAATATAAGTTCTTATCTGAATCATAAAAAATAATAACTGTGTTTTGGACTGACGTTTCACACCGGAGCAGTCGTAAAGTTAGTGCTATAACTATTTGCAGGGAGACGTCGTAATATTATTGTATACTAGCTGTATGTACTATGGTCGTATTATTTTATTTTCAACATATAATAATTTATTTCCAGCATTTACCTGCTGCTAGCTTGCTGTTTATCATTTCAGCTTTTAAAGAAAACTCAACAAAATTTAAAAATAACATTTCATCTTCAACGACGAATTAAACATTCATAAATATAGAACCAAAATATGTCTAGCAGTTTAGCACACCGATTTACTTCCGATTGTCGCGGATTCGATTCCTAGCACGGTGCAAACATATGCATATTCATGAGTATGATTGTTTGTATACGTCAGAGCGCTTATGTGTATTACGTATGTATTTACAAAAAAAAATATATCTAAGTATTTATATCAGTTGTCTAGTACCCATAACACAAGGTCTGCTTACCGTGGTACTAGATGATGCTTTGTTAATTGTCCAAGGTTATTTATTATTATTATTATAGCTTGACTTGGTTGAGTCCTCGGTGATCTAGCGGTTTAGCACAGCACCTGATTCGATGGTCGCGGATACAAAGTCAAGACTTTGTATCCGCAGTTTGTATTCATGAGTAATTGTCTCAATCTAGGTGTTTTCTACGTATATTATGTAATTACAAAAAAAAACTATATATTTATACAAAAAAAAATCTAATTACCTATATATATCAGTTTTCTAGTACCCATAACACGAGATCTACTTAGCTTGGAACTAGAGGACACACCGCCATCTATTCCCAAGCTAAGCAATATTGTTACTTTCTGTCATGCAATCTGACCGACTCTAAAAATATAAAGATATTTTTTGAGAAAAAAACTCACCAGTGAACCAAATTCTGGACATATCCACAAACCACAGACAATATAGCCATTTTATATTAGTGAATTGTAAAAATTAAATAATTATTTTTGTCATTTTAGCGGTCAACTAGATTTCCTTCAGTCTTGACACTTTTTTTTATCGACGCCAAAGTTAGGAATTTCTTTCTTCCTTTCAAATCCGTAGAGGTGGACAAATAGACAAAAAGTTTGTTATCAATTTATGGCAGAAGTTGAGTCGTACAATTGTGATTTGTAGTTGTTTCATTATCTGTGGCATGTTTTTTTTATAGAACCTTTGATTTGTTGTGTTTAGTTTTACGAGTCTACAAGTTTTATGTGTGTTCTTTGTTCTTATTACTTAAAGGCGGAGTTAAATTAAGATTAAGTAACTGATAACAAGAATTAGACCAGAGTACACGGTGAACTGTAGAATCAGGTTTTTTTTTATTTGAATGGTAAAAAAGCTGACTGTTAAACTGATGGTAAGTGGTAACAACTGCCATGTAGATTGTTTTCTAAGATGCGTCATTGAAATTATGAAGGCATGATAGTCTTCTGGAATGACAATGCATGAGGTTATATGATAACCTGATATCCGTATGAAACGTACTACGGACGGTATATGATAACGTGATGTCCGTATGAGAGGTACTATGGACGGTATATGATAACGTGATGTCCGTATGAGAGGTACTATGGACGTTATATGTTAACGTGATGTCCGTATGAGAGGTACTATGGACGGTATATGATAACGTGATGTCCGTATGAGAGGTACTATAGACGGTATATGATAACGTGATGTCCGTATGAGAGGTACTATGGACAGTATATGATAACGTGATGTCCGTATGAGAGGTACTATGGACGTTATATGTTAACGTGATGTCCGTATGAGAGGTACTATGGACGGTATATGATAACGTGATGTCCGTATGAGAGGTACTATAGACGGTATATGATAACGTGATGTCCGTATGAGAGGTACTATGGTCGTTATATGTTAACGTGATGTCCGTATGAGAGGTCCTATGGACGGTATATGATAACGTGATGTCCGTATGAGAGGTACTATGGAAAGTATATGATAACGTGATGTCCGTATGAGAGGTACTATAGACGGTATATGATAACGTGATGTCCGTATGAGAGGTACTATGGACGGTATATGATAACGTGATGTCCGTATGAGAGGTACTATGGACGTTATATGTTAACGTGATGTCCATATGAGAGATAATATGGATGTTATATGATGTCCGTAGTGCTGTTCATGTACCTATATAAGCGACGGTTACCACTTACCATCAGGCGGGCCGTCAGGTTATTTGCCATTCAAATTTAAAAAAAAACTTCATCATCGTAATAAATACCAAAATAGTGATAGTTTACAAAATGATTATAGAGTTATATTGTCTTTATGTCTGTGTGTTTACGGAAGCTAATCTCAGAAACAGCTCAACTGATTTAGATACTGTTTTCACTAACATATTCTTAACTTATAATATAAGCTTCACTTATAATTTAATTTTTATTTCATTCCAAGGTTTAAAAATAACAAAATTATAAACTATAATTATCTCAATAACCACGAGAATGAACTCGCGGTTTCAGTTAGTAAATAATAAATCGTATTACATCATAATCCTTTAAAACTATGTTAACAATATATATATATTCGTGTAAAACATAAATAGAGACGACTGTACTCTAAATTGTATCATATCTCAGCTTGTAGCGCGTGTAGGGCAGCAACACTTTCACTAAGAGCTGAGGATAATACGGTTTTAAAAAATGAAATACATTTATGTCTTTTACAGCATTAATGAATTTATTTAAACCCATATAATATTTTCTTCGGATTACTTTAATGCTGTTGGCCGCAGCCGTCCGATACGGCTGCATCGGACGGTAGTACTGTTTGTTTGTGTATGTGTGTGTGTGTGTGTGTGTGTGGGTGTGGGTGTGTGTGTGTGTGTGTGTGGGTGTGTGTGTGTGCAGGTGCATGTGTATTTATATCTGTGTAAATTTATTTATTAGATCTACAACAAAGAGTTATAGTCTAGCCATCTAATAGATTTGAAACTGTATTCATTTTCTGATGATGCCGTTTAGATGCGAAACATATGTAGAAATGTGGGTGTAAATCCGATAACCGTTAGAGTATGATCACTAGTGGGGAAGATAATAAAACTTCCGGTAGTGCAACTTACAACTAACTAACCAAGTAAGTGCTGTTTGTGTGTATGTGTCCGTGTGTGTGTGAGCGTGCGCATGTATGTGTGCGTATGAGCGCGTGTGTGTGTGTTATTATTATTATTATTGTTATTGTTCTTTATTTATTTTTTTCTCAGCCTTTGCTTTCTCTTATTATTGTTATTATAAATTTATTATTGAGGCAGCTTATCTACGAGTGAAAATAGCGTCAAAAAGATAGATGCAAAGTAAAAAAAATACTATTTTTATATAAATACCGTATATACTCTTATATGTATTTAGTGAAAAGTTATTTATTTAAAATTACAAACGGACACTTCAATTTCTTTTTTATTTGTATACATATATATACAATCCATAATAATCCAGAATTTATCTTAAAAGTACAGCACGCAAGTTTCTTTTCCGTTCTTTTTGTTATGAGACAACTTTCCAAATGAGCGCTAAATTAAAACAAACTATTCAAAAGTAATTGCATTTAAGATTCTTAGAATAAAGAATTTTGTCTTCCGTTCCATCCTATTCTTTTATATGATGTTCTGTTCTGTTCTATATTATTTTATCCTGAAATTTCCGCTACACTTCAGTGTCACCCCACATTTAGTGTAGTGATAAATTAAAGCTTAGCATGTTGGGGACATCCGCTGTGGCCTTTATTGTATTCAAACTAGAGTTTGCACTCCGCAAACATATTTATACCATTATGATATACATTGTTTTTAGTTCATTTAGTTATTTTAGTTTCTTTTTTAATTTGGTAACTAATTGTTACTGAAGTATAGTTATAGCGAGTAGGTTGTTTGTAAGAAGTTGTTTATAGCGTTAAAACATTTTTCTTAATTCAATATCTGTACACTATATGTATACAAATAAACAAAATTTATGTGTCTGTTTGTAATATCAAATTAATAGTTTTTCACTAAATGCATATATTATAAAAATACACACGGATTTTACAATAATGATATTAAAAAATATTGTCTGCTTATTCTTGCTAATATTTAAAATAGATGAATCGATTTTGATAGGAATTAAAATAAAATAATAATAAGGCGAGTAAAATAAATATAAGGAGTAACTTTAGAAACATTTATTTTATAAATTTTATTTATTTTAATTCAACGTTCATCTATAAAATAATCTAGTTACGCAGAATAGAATAGAATAGATAATCATTTATTCAAATAAACTTACATTGAAGCATTGCTATTAATCTACCGCTCATTCGGAAAGCTGTCTCATCACAAGAAGAATGAGCAAGAAACGTACAAAATATAGCAAGGAAAGTAATATTTTTTTAACAGTATACCCTCACTAATTTTATTACATTTAACTTATAAAGTAAAAATTAAGAATCATACACAACAGCTGTTAAAATTGTATGAAATAAAATATTCGTATTCAATTCTTTTAAAATAATGAACTAAAACATTAATGAAATAAAACGAAGAGTAATCAAATGCCAGCCAATTTGATACCAACCACTACAATAAACATTTACGTTTATTTTCCCCGTTTCCACTAGATAGGTACCGAAAACAAAACAAATAAACTTAAAATCACAGTTCACAAACTAGAAAACAGGAAATAAACAAGCCGGAACATATTATACACATTCACTGTAACATTCGGACATATTTCGCTCATGAAAACGAGAATAAACCGCGCCATACCTCGTGGTTTTTGCACTGAGATGATTCAGGTAGAGCGGGCAATGGATGCATGCCGATATATATATATATATATTAAAACTAAGTCACCGTAGTTGAGTAGCGGTTTTCTCACCGAACAGTCAACATTTTTTTTTCGGACTACTCTAATGCTGTTGGCCGCAGCTGGCCTTTACAGCTTCACCGGACGATAGGGGGCGAGTGCAGATGGTACTCCAAACCCGCGGAAGGACTTATGGAACGGCATGCATGCCGATATATATATATATATTGAAACTGAATTCTCGTAGTTGAGTAACGGTTTTAACACTGAACAGTCAATATGTTTTTTCGGACTACTCTAATGCTGTTGGCCGCAGCTGGCCTTTACAGCTTCACCGAACGATAGGGGGCGAGTGCAGATGGCACTCCAAACCCGCGGAAGGAATTATGGAGCAGTTAAAGGCCAACTCCCGCCTGATGGATTCGACTTTAGTCTGAGGGCACTCCTAGAGGTTCGAACCTCAGCTCAGGCCGTCGTAATTTCGATCCCCGTTTGAATTGGACGGGGGATCGATCGGAGGGGGAGGCAATCAACAATAGGCTTCCAAGCTATGACTCTACCTAATGTTTGATAATGACTTATTCAATACCGGTCGGAATTTGACTATAAGAGAAGTTTGTAACGGTATATAAATCAATAATGTACCCATTACTTACAATTACCTTCCTCGACATGAAAATATATTTTAAGATTATAGAAACCCAATATTGTACAATAAAATTAAATCGATTCACAATTAATCTTTAATCATTACATAGTATAAAACAAAGTCGCTGTCGCTGTCTGTCCGTCCCTATGTATGCTAAAATCTTTAAAACTACGCAACGGATTTTGATGCGGTTTTTTTAATAGATAGAGTGATTCAAGAGGAAGGTTTATATATATAATACATGTACACCCGTGCGAAGACGAAGCGGGTAGCTAGTGTATAATAAAAACATTACGCACTCCAAACAGCTACTCTACATTAGGTCCCCGTGGCTCCTTATCTCCCCGGGTCACAGTAAATTTGTTTTGCCCCAGTTTTTCATCTTCTCCGCAATATATTTCCAAGTTGTCGGGAACACGGAGCTCCTACGAGATTGACCAACATTTTTCATTTTAAATTAACCTCGTAAACCCTGTCTTAGGGAGAATCAGAACGGATAATGCGTTAAATATTATTATTATGGGGGTATATTTTACGATTAGACAATTAGGG